CTCCCCGGGCCGCGAAATGGAGTATGTCCTGGCAAATGACACGGTTTTGTTGCCAGAGGACCGGGAAATGTCTCTCCAGGGAGTTTCTTGCAGTGAAGGGCGTGATTTAGGTGGTGAGCTTTTCGGGAAAAAAATTAAAAGGCTTTTTAAAAAACGAATTCAGACATGAAAAGTGCTTTAAAGCAGGGTTGTTTGCAACTCTTTGCAAGAGGCTTGGTTTGTGGCTGGTGTAAAATGTATCTTTTTTTTTTTTTTAAAGAGAGCTCCTTGCTAATTATCTTTAGATAGAGCAGTAACTTTAAAACTTCTCTTAATATGTAATTGTAATGGCTGAAGTAAAGCCTAAAATCGACACGCAATTGAATCAGGGTATTAAAGTCTCGCTAAATGTCTTACCACCATTCATATTCTTTCATAAAAACTTTCCAAGAGCAATAAAGAGAAAAAAACCCGCTGAAATACAGACTCTCTGCCAATATATTCTTCCTAGAAAAGCCTTTCGGTGTAGGCGGCGCTGCACAGCTCTCCCTCACGGTGGTGGTCACCAGCAGACAGGGACAGGTGTAATTTTATAAAGCCTTTATTTATTATTCTTTTTTTTTTCTTAAGTGATGGAATTGAAAAGAACGTAGTTTGACAAAACACAGAAGATTCACAAAGTATTCATTCAGTACCAAAGGAAAAAGGGTTAGAGGTGCGAGAAGTGAGACAGAAAGTTTTCTCGTCGTGTTTCTCCCACTGGCAGCCTAGACTGGAGAGACAAAAGGGAAATTGGAAATTGTTGTAAATTGGCAGCGTACTGGTAGTGCTTCAAGCTTTTGAGCCCTGTGCAGTGGCAGATGGTGAAACATTCAGGGAAAGCACAGGTGGTGGTTCAAGGGAAGGTGGTTGCTTTTTGGGGATAAAAAAATTAAGCAGATGGAAGGGTGGGCAGGAAGGGGCAGACAGACTGACAGACAAAGGTATTTGTGCATTTCTGCTGTTACCTACCTTAGGTTAAGCACCAATTCCTAGTGTGGCTCTGCTCTGGATTATTAGGGCAGCACCCTAGGAAAAGGAACACGAACAGTTGTGAGAGGGAAACCAAGGAGAAAAGTAGTTTGTGCTTGAGAAGGGTTTGTTAGAAACCTGAATTTCTGCCTGAATGGTGGTTCAGAGGGTAATGCTCATGGTACCTCCTGACCCTGGAACCCCAGTGCCCCTGCATGTCGTGTATCTTCCCCTTTTGCCAAAGCAGAAAGGAAACTTTTGGGACGGATTAGAAATGAAATAATTCTTCCCCAAGTCTTCCCAATATATTTAACCACGTAACATTTTGGATGTAAATAAAAAAGAGTTCAACTAATCAGCAATTTGAGATATTAGTAATAGTTGTGTGCCCTACATTAGATTGATGCTGCTACTGCAAACTGTCATTTGTGCTTCCTGGCAATGCAATATGGCTCCGGATAAACTTCTCCTGTGGCATGGTAGCTGAACTCCCAGTACAGCTGGATTTGCTAGGCACTTCTGAGAGCTGATCCAGATGCACTTTTTACTGGTAATCCCAGAGTTTTGTAAGGATCTGTAGCACAAAAGCAAGTTCATGTGTGCTAGAGATGACGTTAAATTCCACACGTGGATATTTTTTGACTGTGGCTTGTAGATACTTGGCTCTTTTGACAAGGCCCAAGAGAACTTTGTATAATCTGGGACTGAGATGTGCTTTGAGCAGGTGGTTTGCCTAAATTACCTCCTACAACCTTTCCATGTGAAATTGTTCAGTGGCTGTAATGTGTGCAGCCAAGACAGACATGAAGCTCTGGCCCTTTCCTGCAAGGGCACATGGACAAGTGACCACAGAAGTTTGCAGAACAACTTTCTAGTGCAGTTTCCAAGTTCCTGTGTATGTGGTTTAGGTTTTTTTGTTTGTAGTGTTTTTTGTTGGGTTATTTTGGGGTTTTGTGTGCGTGTGTGTGGTTTTTTGTTCTGATTTTTTTTTAAAAAAAAAAGGAGAAAGTACCTCTTCCCCAAGGCACGCATCAACATCTGACTGCTTGCAGCACTTTTCCATCATGGCAGTGAAACCCCCACCAATGGTCTTGATTTGTTCCTCTGTCATCTGGGGCTTGCGCTTGATGAGGTTGATGAGCAATCTGGGAACAGAGGCACAAGACACGATTAATCTCACCTGCTGCAGTCGGTCCTGCCAGGCACAGCCCATTTAGGAGGGGTTTTTTGTCATGCCTGGATGAGCCTGGGCCTGTTGGTGACTCCACACTCCCAGTCTAACAAAACCATCTGTTTGTTTTGTGTTAACTCAGTGACAGGTGGGGAAAAACTTAGGGAAATGATCTGTGTGTTGTCTTAGTGAAGTACCTCTCAGGATCTCGCTGGCAGTGGGCCTACATGAAACTGGTCAGTTAGGAGGGAGATTTTAAGTGAGGAAAAAACTCGGTTTTGCTTCTGGCAAGCTCTGTGATGGTGTATGCTGACCAGGTCAGTACAAACACACAGCTCCATCTGGTTTTCTGTGTCACTAGTGCAGCCCCAGTCAGGTGACAAAACAGGGTGCAGCTTCCTTCTGCACCCCCCAAAGTGCTACCCTTCAAAAGCTTCCCCACAAGGTGCTTCTTGGCGCTTACTTCAGCTGCCCTGCTTCACGCTCAGCTGGAGGAGCACTGCACATTTTTTCATCAAAATTGAACATCATGGGGTCAAATGGTGGAGGCACATATTTGGTGTCGATGCCCATGGCAGTGAAACATGGTCTCCTGTAAGAGTAGAGTTCATTGCAGCACTGTGAAACCTGCTCGTTGATAGGGGTGCTCTCCTGTCTCTTGCACATGTCTTCAATGACGATGCTCAGCTGAAAAGAGAAGGGCAAAGGTGAGTGACATCTTCCCAAACACACAGCAGGAGGTGATGTTTGTATCACAGCAGCGTAGCTGGAAGTGGAAGCTGCTGAATGGAACACCTGCTGGGAAATGGCGTGTGTTGAAAATTTAAAATATATTTAAGTGTTCCTGGAGTGAGGCATTTCTTCATCTGCAAACAGTCTGGGTGTGGGGCTACAATCAGTAGGTTTGAGGGTGTTAGGACCCTCTTTAGCTTTTCCAAATACAACTTTGCACAGTGTCAGTTATGGAGCTCTGGGCTACCTGCTCCAGTGGAAGGTGTCCCTGCTCATGGCAGGGTGTTGGAACTGGATTTCTTTAATGCTCCTTCCAACCCGGGCCATTCTACGGTTCTGTGATTCCTGATTCTATGAACTTTTGCTTTCTGAGGGAAAGCCAAGTGTAACTGAAATTCTCACAAGCTACCATCAGAGAGCCATTTAGGCTCTCCTATCCATTAAAAAATGAACAGACTTGGAATTCTGTTAGGCAGATGATTAGTGTGGTGTTTATGGAAAGCCACTGTGTTTGCTGTCTCGCCAGAATTCAGTGTTTGTGCCAAGAGGAAAAATCTCCAGGAGAGGAAGGGAAGAGAATAAATGAGTGTACTCACATAGTGCTCAGAACAAGACATGCGTTTCTGCTCAGGAAGGTTGCAGCACTTGTTGCCAACAGCTGTCATTTTCTTCCCGATTTCCAGCAAGGTGTCAGTTGATACCTGAGGCATCTTCTTAGTGT